TCTTCCACGGTCGCCCATACATGAGTCGTTAACGTCTTGAGATCATCGCCACATGTCGAATTTTGCTTCATGCCTGACTCTAAGCTCATAATCTCACCCTCTGTAAGCTGATCTGCTGCTTGTGTAAAGTTGACGTGTTTCATGAATGCTTTAAACTTATCCCAACTTACGAGAAGATCTTCTTTATAACTGAGAACCAAGAGCAAGATATACTGCACGGTAGGCAAAAGGAGACGCGTGAGTTGAAGGGTCTTGGAAGGCGTCTTGCCAGAACAGATGAGAATGGTAGCTGGAAGATCTGCGACGACATAATTGGTTTGATACAGCAAAAGCAAAAGTTTTTCAGTCGTCGTCTGAGGGTCGTTGACCATCTGGTTTCGAGCAAAACGGATGACAGCTCTTACGAAAATCAAAAGGAAATCAGCACAAATGACAGCCCAACTCAAAGTCTTGCTAATTTTGGCTAACTCGCCAAAGACACCAAAACTTGCTGAACTTAAGATTGCCATGGCCAATGCAGACACTTTGGCACCGTGTTCACGGACACAATCGTTATTTTCCTGAATGCACTGCATGCCACACTCAACAGGATATTCCATCGGACATTCCGTCCAACATGTGTTTGTCAGGTCATTGCGATCGTAGTTTTTTGGACAGGTGTTCATAAAATGCGCCTCTCGATAGCAGGCTGAGTCGCCGGATTGACTCCAAGGACCAACCCAATTGCGAAATGTTGATCTTGCAGTACTCACGGCAGTTGATGGTGTCGCTATCGTGTTCATTGGCGGCATTGACACATCCCAAGAAGATGGCAGCAACAAAGCGTGTTTGTTAGTCTCATCTTCCGAGTCATCTGAATCGTCCGAAAAGTTGGTGGATATTGGTGGATTAGACGCCGGACTGGACGAAGACCCAGAGTCAGAGTCAAAGCTGGAGGCTGAGCCCTTTCCAGAGTAAATCATCTCCCTTACACGGTCCATATAGTCGGAGCCCATCATTTCTGTAAGGGTTTCTGGCGATAGAATTTTGTTCTCGTTGTTTGTGTCGGTCGATGCTGGCGAATCGTCGTCATCCCTCCAGAAAGTCCAGTTGATAGCATTTATGCTGGTGGTACTGGCAATGACAGTTAAGAAGATGAAAGCCAATTTCATTCGAGCCATCTTGAAATCTCCGTGACTGGGCGAGAACTAAGAAGCGATGCCGAAGCACGTCTGATTCCTAGGCGGTGAAACGCAGAGTGAAATTGAGATCCGCTCGACTACTAATTGTGTCCCTGTTTTCGGACATGGTTGTACACACTCAACTGGTTCCACGATTTGCAGAAGGAAAGTGATGGGTAGGGTCCTGCGAGCCGGTCAAGAAACATGAACATAACCTATGTTTGAGATGGGGCTAGACGATAATTGGACAAACAGATGTACACCGCTGATTCTGTAGTGTGATTAAAGTTAACATTAACCTTAAAATTTTTTAACACGTTCGATATGTAGTGATCATCGAATTCTGTCAGCGACTGATGAGCGATGTTGTTTGCAATGTAGTAAAAGCAAAGTTGCACGCCCAGATTGGCGGCAGGAATGTCTAATCATTCATCCAGACTAGATTTCATTTCATTGAGTTTCAATCTAGCAGTGGTATTTATTGCGAAATGAGACGATCGACAAAAACCAGGTGGCAACGTTTAAAACTTATCACTACCCAATCCGAAATGACCGCTATGGATATCGAATATGGAAATCTTGCTGATAATCATATCGTCAAGATGACAACCGCTGCAGAAGCACATCCGTCTCCGTTTTATCGTTAAAATAGTCGTGCAATCCATTCCAGCATCTAGTGTATAAATGCTAATGATTGAGTCTTAGAAAGGTCCATTTTCCATCAACATGAAATTGTATTCATGTTTTTTATTGCAATGATGGTTCAAGACGTCGCGATCTTCGGACAGTTTACATTCAATATATATTAAATGTTTGGTCTGCATTGCAGAAAGGTTAGTGCATGACATGACGTTGGTAAATAGCCAGAAACATTGCTTCAAATTTATATTTCGAGATGCGCTTGCCTTGTCGTGCCTTGACATTTCCGATATTGCCAAACAAATCACGAAACGTCGTCGACGCTCACTGTGTCAGAAGGACTAGGTCAATGGATAACGCAAGGACGAGGCAATGCTGAGAACAAATCGCAATAGAGAACATCTGGTTCACCAGACGATGACAAGGGCCATTTTGCAGCCAGCAGTGGCTTTATTTAACAGAGCATCATAAATTTTGCAGTGAGTTTAAGCAATCCCTAACACATGGAATGACAGAGCCAGGGTATAAGGTTTAAGACCTTTACAACTGCCATGTGGCTTGATGACACGCGACACATTTTGATCCGGTCTCTGATGAAACTTTAGACTTTTATTCATCAGCTACGAAGGACTGATGCCGATGTAGCCTGAATTTGACAACCTACTGATAATAAAAAACGAGAAAAGGATAAATGAACTAAGTAACAATTGAACCGAATTAACACTTAACGAAATGTAATAATCAAAATTTACACAAAAAACGTTTGAGAATTGACTTTATAAGTTGCGCTTACTTTAAGGCTACGAAAGCTAAGTTAGTCCATACGACAGCGACTTACCCATGAAGCTGCAGTTATGTGAGGCAAAGCGTGTTTTTTACGCTCTGCTGTAACATACTACGCGGGTAACAAGTGACATTTTTATGATATTGGTAACATAATCCTGTAATCATCGTTTATTGAAATCAAATGGAAATTTGGAAAAATTACTTATCTGCTGTAATTACATCTTGGTATCCTGGCTTCATTTCAGTAGCATCCATCTACTGAAACTTCTGCGAGAAATCTCAAGATTGTTTATGGTTCATAAAAAAGTACTCGGTATCGGGTATTCCTCCTTAAATAAAAGCTCATCTTAGAATATTTATCTCCAAAAAAGTGTCTCCTCTTTTGCAATGAGCTTCGCCGATGGCTCATACAAGACGCTCTTATGTATATCAGTGTAAGTGTTCCACATTGAGAAAGTTTTAATTAATGTATGGATTATAAGTGAAAAGTAGGATACGGATCACCCAGAATGTTCAACTTGAACGGTGTATTCATGTCAGACAGAAGTGATTTGAGGCATCTTCAAATTGAAGCAAGCGTATTGAACTTTAAAGCTGTTGTGCGGATGTGTTGCTGTAAAAAGGATTGCAATCGAATCAGCGTTGAACGATGTTGTGGTCTTCCATATACAAATTATTCTTGACATGATTTCAACTTTTTTCAACTCGTCGTCGATCAAAAGACATAGGCTTTGCTACGATGTAATACGTTGTGCCAAAATGAAAGCGATACAGAGTCTCCACCTCCAGTCCAGCCTGATCTAATAGTGCTAAAATATCCCGATTCCAATGGCATCCCCACTTTTGAGCATGAAGGTCTGCAAATTTGTCCAATATACCTGAAAGCCACACATAGTTGCTCCGCCCGTGTTCCAGCAACAATATGCGACCACTATCCTTCTTGCATACACGTTGCATCTCCTGCAGCGCGCGCACAGGATTGTCCATACTGCAGAGGCCAAAAGTGTCAACCACAGTATCGAATCGGTCGTCTTCGAAGCACAAATTGTCGGCACTCATGATCTTGAGTTCGCAGCTTGCCAACCGCTGCTGCTGCGTCTTTGCTAATTGGTCAAGCATTCCATGGCTAAAGTCCGTCAACGTCACCTGGGTGGCTGCACGGTAGAAAGGTAAGTTTCGACCAGTCCCAGCCGCCACCTCTAATACTTGACCATCAGCCTTTCGCAGCAGAAAGCGCCGCATTAGCGAAATTCCGGTGAGTCGTTCATCCCAGTTCACCTTCTTGTCGTATTTGGACGCGTTCGTGTCAAATATCTGCAAGCGTCTCGCATCGGTTATTTCTGGAGCAGTCCCAATGGCATTGTGTTTCTTGGGATCGTAAAGTGTTATATATGTGGTGAAAGTCACCCCTGCGTAAAGTGCTACACTACTTATCAGCACGCCTGTTCGGCGCCAGACCGAAGCCATTGCACCACAAATACGAATTTATGCGTAAATTACATATTCGCCAAAAAACTATATTATGGTGTCACTTACATCAAATATTGTATTGTTCTAGCATTAAAATTATTGATATAAACAATGATCAGTAATTCAATATAGTATAATGGGACGCAATGTTTTATTGTGAAAACATTTATCATGTTTAGACCTTGTTTAAATACCAAGAAAACAAATGGGTAATAAAAACACACAGGCGCATTTTGTGTCACGAAGCTCGCCAGTCCCCTCGGCCCTCTGACCTCTGACCTCTAACCTCTCCCATCGTATGCCATCACCCGGAAATTGTAATCCTGCGGCGGCATCGATAATACCGCCCTCGCGACCACAATATTATGGCATCTCAAAAGCAACCGCGGGCCGTCCTGCGCTAGAGAGCAGGCTGCATTTCATCAGGCTGAACGAGAAGTGCAACAACCCACAATATCTGCATTGGAGCGAGGCTGCCGTAGCTCTTTGCTTAGAGGAAGCTAAGCTAGAGTCAACGACCTAATGAACCTACCAAGAACCAGTACGAGTGCAGCGGATCGCAATCCGCTGCTTCCAAGAGTACATATAACCTTGGCCAAGGAAAAGGGACTCTTCCATTCAGAATTGAAACCGTATTTAATTGTTATATTTGCGGTACAGCCGCCAATATCCAAAACCCTAGTTCTTCCTAATCAATATAGTGATATGCATTACTCCTGCCACGTGGTGACTTCTTGGCCACACAAATGTGTGATTACACCAACTTGTGTAATCCACACCATTGGACGGTCACACCATCTTGTGTCACCCCCTTTCATACAAGGGTACGTGTAACTCCATTACTCTCAGGGTACAATTAAACTGCTATATCCTCCCCCACCAAATTTGTGAATACCCCCAATTCACATTTAACTGTCGCCTCATACGAGGCTCTCGTCTCTGAGACACCTTCACGTTCTTTGAGAACAAATTTGAACATTCTCCGCTCTACGACACGTAAACACCCAGCCTAGCTGGTTCCTAGGGCGCCCGTGAGCAAAGTTCTTCTTCTACTGCACAGGGTGCATCTCCGGACTGTACGTCCGCGGCTTTACGAGAAGCACGTCCCGAGCCCTCGGCAACCGAGCGTACCACACCGCGCCGCCTCAGGCGACGGGTTTCCTCGTCGAGGCTTGGAGGAAGTTGACTACGAGTTGGACATACCTTTTCCAGCATGGGAAGACAAGGAGGATGAGGTGCGCCAGTGGCGTAACGTGAAAAAGTGAAAGTTTCCGGTGCCGCTGCGTTCATCACTCAAAGAGCATTTCATCATCTGCAGCGGCACCATAAACTTTCTTTGCTGTCTTCCTTACAGCGAAGCCATAAGGGAGTGGACATGCGCGCTGAGCGTCATCTCAGATTTGAGTTTGCCAAAATCAAGGCGTAACGCTGACTTCCTGCGTGTTGTTGCCCTGTGGTATAATCCATAACGCACCTGCGAGCTCTGTGGGTTCTCACACGGGTGAGTCTACGACTATAGCGGCTCAGAAGTACGGCTCTCCGACTTTCCGGGCTACTGTCGAGAAGCGCAACGCGCAAGACGACGCGAAGCGTCATGATCCTTCTGATCATAGGCGTCTACGACGTCTGGGCAAGTTTGCCGTAGTGGCACATCAAACCCCCACGAGTTTTCGAAGTTTCTGTCGAACCCCGTCGACGACTTCAATCCACAAGGCGTTCCACGCGAAAGTAGACGCCACCAAACTCATCGAGAAGTGTCGGCGGCGGACGATGACGACTTGGTCAACCGCCGTCCGTTGACCCGCAGTGCTCGTCGAGCGATGAAGGACAAAGTCCGACGTCATCGGTATTCCGCTTACCGCTGTCCGTAAGACCTCGAGAGCCTGAAGCACTTTGTGCGCCGACTGCCTCACGTGATGATTATCGGGCTCTGTTGGAGGGGCTCCTAGCCGTAGAGCAGGCGAATACGTCACTTCGTGTGACAGTAAAGCGCTTTGCGCCGTTGGAAACGAAAATTGTTGCACTCCGTGCTCAGAACCAGTTGCTGGTTCGGCTTCTGGGGGGCTGAGCTCCTTTGAACGCCACCCAGGCGCCAACGCTTCCGCGCTCACTAGCGCCTGATCCCGGACGGCTTAAGCAAGTCCACATAAAACACCGAGTGGGCGTATTTTTCTCGGAAGGTTCAGCGTATACGTTAGGTCTCGCTTGGCCACGACCTTGAAGGTCCGATAAACTGTAGACGGAGCTTCCTTCGCCTTAGAGATAGCAGAAACTACATGTGCAAAAAGGGTTTCAGCGTTTAATGAAACCAGGTCTCCGACCTCAATACTTTCAAATTTCTTTTTTCTTTTCGACAGTAATTTTCCTTCCGCATGTCCTGGCTTTCAGCCATCGCATTGCGAACTTGTCGTAAGACACTCAGTCTAGTAGATAGGAAGCCTCCGACTTCTTTTTGCACGGTGAGGGTGCTGACATCAGCTAGCCGTTCGGCAATTCCTCCCCAACCTAGCTCTGAGTCATGATATGGCGGCGTCAGCGGGACGCGAGGAAAAATAAGCCCGTTCACGTAGAACGGCGTATAGCCGGTAGATGAGTGCACAGCATTGTCCAGAGCAAGCTCTACGAGTGGCAGCATAGCGCTCCAGCGCTTTGGCGTCTCAGCGCAGACGCTGCAAAAAAAGTCTTCAACGACGCGATACATGCGCTCAGTCTGACCATCGGTCTGCGGATTGTCCGCTGTTGACAAAGTCAACTTGATGTCCAGCACCCTAAAGATTGTAGACCAAAACTTCCCAGTGAACCGTGGGTCTCTATCAGAGACAATAGACTCCAGGAGCCCATGTTGTCAAAAGACATGGTCCACAAACAGCGTCGCTGTATTCACACCGTCGATGGTGTCCGGCACTGCCGTAAGACGAGGCACCCGTATTGTCCGCCAAGTCCTTCGGCTGGCCATACACAAAGTCCATACTCATGGACTGCCAACACCCGGAGGGGACCGGCAAACTGGCCGCATACGGAGAGGGTTTCACCCTCTGGCACGTCTCACACGTGCACACAAATGTGCTCGTCCATATGTATAGCTTAGGCCATCATCAGTGGCAACCTACCGAGCCGTACGTCCTCTCAAGATCAAGGTGACCACTTAGTGGTGTGTCATGCGCCTCACAGAGGATACGGTATTTTCAATCCTCACGTTGAGGATTTAACTTCAATTTTTAGCGTATCCGTTGAAGCGGTGCTATAATACAGCAAATCGTTATCCAGTGAATATCGGTGCAACCGTGCGCGCAAACGCGTCGACAATTTCTTGTCCGAGTTTCCAAATTCCTTGCTTCCGAGAAATCATAGTAGCGCTTCGTATAAATCATCACCCGCGAGTAGAAGCGGGGTCCATTGTAGCCGTCGAGAAAAAAATTGTGGTCCAACCTTGATGCTACGTAGAGATCAAATTCTATAATGTGCATTCAACATTCTTTCCGCTTGTACGACATCGCATTTAGGACTTTTGTCTCTTCACCTATGTTCAAATGACTTTGAACGAAACAAGTTTATATGCGACGCGGGTCAAACCGTCACTGACGACGTCACCATCGTGACATGAGCAAGCTCATAGTCCGGTCTGCGTGTCAACGCATCAGCCAAAGCATTCTGCATTCCTGGCTTGAATTCCAGTTCGAAGTCATATTCTGAAAAAAAAACAAGAGCCACCTGGCCATCCTCTGTGAGAGGTAAGGCGACTGAGTCGCAGTGCGTAGTGACGCATGATCTGTGTAGATCACAAACGGTTTTGATCCAAGCCGGTGCACCCCGGACTTGACAAGCGCATAATTCATCGCAAGTAATGCCTTGTTGCGGACTGGGTAGTTCTTCTCCGCAGCCTTCAGCTAGCGAGATTCTTTGATCTCGACCCTCAGCGTCTGCTTGCAGCAGTGCGCAGCCGATAGCGAGGTCCAAAGTACACTAAAAGGACAATCGGGGGTCTGGCAACGTGCATGAAAGAGGATATATTTGACCCTGTCAAAAGCCTCCCGATGCTCGGTGTCTTAACACCATTCCTTATCCTTTTAAGGAGTTTTGACAATGGCCGTTCCATTTCCGCATAGTTTGCGCCAGATTTGTACAAGTAGTTGGCGAGGCCAAGCCACTTGCGCAAGTCCTTTTTGTTCTTTGGAACCGGCCAGTCTGCAATGGCCTTAACCTTAGCGGGATCCGCTCGAAAGCCACGCTTCCCAATATAGCACTCTAAAACGGGGATTTATTTGACGCCGAAGATGCACTTATCTGCATTAGCATACAGCTTATTTGTGCGCAGGCACTTGAACACCGCTCTCAAACGGAAGATGTGGTTTTCACATCTGTCCTCTCGTACCCTGCGCGACTGTGGGCGAAAATGTCGTCGAAGTATGTCTGTGCATACGCCCGATGGGGCCTAAACAATTGCGTCACAAGACTACTAAATGTTGCTGGTGCATTTGACAGCTTTTGGGGCATCACCAGCCACTCCCAGAGCATCCCGCTTGGAGTACCCACCGCTGTCAGCAGAATATCACTCGCTCTCATGAGCTATTGGTAATTGATATTGACCAAGTCTAGTGCACTGTACTTTGTACAGCCAGCCATATTTGTTTGGAGGACATCCTTTCCAGGAATCGGCGTCTGTGCCGGAATAGTGGTAGCGCTAAGCTTATTGTAAGCATGAACGATAAGCCTCTTGCCTTTCGGCTTCCTGACACAAAACGTGGGTGTCGAATGAGGAAACTTGCTCATGCACCTGTCCTGCATCATGCTTCGCACGGAAAAGGCGTCAATGATGCCAAATAGCTCCTTAGGCAGGGGCCATTGGCGAGTTACGCAGTATATGGTTCATGGAACCAGGTCGATCTTATGACGCACACCTCGGTCCGGAGGTAGCACCAACGGCGGGTCTATGGAAACGACGTCTTGAGATTCCTTCACCAAAGAAAAGTACGGATTTCTTAGGTTACGATCCACTTCATGCGTTCTGCACCCTCTTGGTGTCATCCAGGACAGTTTCATCCAGAAGCGACGACGAGTTAATCTTCTTATTCGGTCGTATAATGACTACCGGTAAACTGCCTGCCTTTAAGGCACCGCAAAACTCTTCGAGAGACATCTCAAGAAGAGCTACCACCGCAGGAACAGCCTCAAGGGTGACGTCGCCGTCTTCGTCATGCCGCTAACAGGGGTATATAGCTGTGCGCTATCGTCTACGATAGACACACCCTGGGTCAGGGTCGACGCCCTGAATCTTGTAGATATCATACGGCTTCGCCGTCTCCTCTCTATAGAGGTTTTTATGTCTCATCGAGACCAGTGGGAGCACGCACTCGGCGTCGTCCAGTGGATAACGTGTGACTCCACGCGCATCAGAAGGGCCTTGCCCTTGATGCCTTGGACCTCGTCTGACCATGCCACTCGCGGAATGTAGCAACTGCTTTTTAACGTGAGCAGTGCTCAGTGGGTTAAGTGCCCCTCCACGTGCATCACAAGGACCTCGCCCATGATGCCTCGGCCTTTGGCCAACCATGCCACTCTTTGCATGCAGCGACCGCTCCAATACTTGAGCAGCGCTCAGTGGGTTATACGCCACTTCACGTTCAGCCCGTGAGCCACGCTCGGAACTCTTGTCCAGAACGACTTTGGTGTTTCACAACTCGGGTACTCCGATATCCAGCTTATTGACCGATCCAGTTCAATGCCCGCGCCAATAGAGCTTCTGCTTCCTAGCAGAAATGTATTCATGATCCAACAAAGCTCCACTAGGAGACATGCGCGTTGCGCCCAAGATCTTTGACCTCCAATCAATTAATGGCCCATGGTGTTCCCACCATGCCATACCTACGAGTTCAATACAACTCGCACGCATCGCACTGACTGTTCTGAGCGTTTCTACAAACACTGCAACATGTTAGAGACTGTTTAGTGAAGTCGCTCTTATCCAATCTGCCAGGAGAAACCGATTGCAGCCAAAGAAGGTAGAAATTAAGCATTGTCAGGAGTGCAGTAGGAAAGAAGACCGTCAAGGAGGATTCGGATAATAGTTCACGTAATCAGAGCCCCGGAAACGCTCATATTGTTGATTCAATTCATGTTCATTAAACACGCTGAAAAAATTATAGAGATGATGATTCTTCCGACGACATGTACCCAAATATTGGACTGCAATTCTCTAAGTAAGTTTTCTAGCGCTCTAGAAAATGCATCGAATGATACAATCGATGTTGAAGACGATCAACAGCAACCATTTCAAATGTCTTCATGCAGTCGGAGGAGGTCCAACATTTAATGCAGGATACGATTGATTTGGGGGATGACGGAATCGAGAAAGTAGTACTTAGTTTTGGTGGGTTTCGTGCGCTATGGACAGTAGAGAATGACCTTTACTGGTCCTAAGAGCCTGAAGACATGTCTGTATTTGTTTAAATATTGAAACATACAAAGAGAATAAAATGCTACAGACTATTTAGATTTCGTAAGTGAGCGCTCAGTCGTTCGTATGGCCATCTGTCCTGGGAGTGTTTACGGTGGACTATTCCAGTCTACCTTGAACAACGCAAGTCGAAATTTTATTGCGAAGCACGTCACGACCAGGATTGTCTTGAACGGTCACAATGAATGAAACACTTAGACAGCCCACTGACCATATACCGGTATAATCAAACGCGTTTTTAGAAGACAAAACAAATCTATGCTTATGGTATTCCATCAAGTTGCTAGAGCCGCCAGACTGGTTAAAGGTGGTGACGCATAAAATTACGGCCTACCCGTTAAATATACGCACATACGCACTTGCGCATTTATAATTATTGGGTTGCTTGTAAAGGCGTTCAGTATATTGCGCTCACTGAGCCATACTATATTCTTGAAATGTATGAAAACTTTTCTCACCACTTGAAGCTGTTCCCGTACTGTGATGCAGCGTCCATTGAGAGATGTTTGCCATTGTATACGCGCTGTCAAACGCTTTGATACAGATCAAGCCGAGCTCAAACGTCTTTGCTTCATATTGCATTTAGCAATGCAATACATGTTGCGTCTGACTCATACGTCATACATTAATTTGATGGTGTCATGGGTGACGCGACGGCCCATCACTGACACATCAAGCCGACACGGCGTGCCGACTACTCCAAAGATATACTCAGGAGAAAGGATTGACCAGTTGGCTTGGAAAATGGCTATCCTTCAAGATCATATGGAGCTTATAAGCAGCTCACAAATGGAAAGTGCGTACAGTTAGGTGCTGATAGATCTTTTATGGGTGAGTCCATTACTGAGAACTATACAGAGCACTGAGTGTGAGGATTAGTTGTTTCTGAAAAAGTGACGGAGGAATATGACGACATGGTGATGAGATTCCCACTACGCCCGATGCACACGGATATTAGTGTGTGATATTGGTTTAAGGTGGGTCGAGAAACCAAAAAGTGCCTCACACGTCAATGGATCTGACACAATATAACGTCTTGAACGCCTTATTTTGTGCAATGTTTGAGGCGGGCTTGGTGAAGGAAACAAACCCCCTCATTCGACGCTGCCGCAAGGCTAACGGGAAATTAAAACTTTTGCACACTTGTAGTATACTTTTGCAGCTTTCATGTTGGGGTGTTTGAGTACTAACGATGCCCAATCGACTAGTGATAGATTTATTGGCTGCATAATGCCTATGCGGATTCTTCCTTTGGCGATACATTTGTTATACTCGTCAGGGGGCGGGCGTGGATATAACATCAAGTATAAGTGAGTGTATGCGCTTAAACAATCTGTTAGCCAAAAACAATTGCGTCAATTGCAGCGACAAAAATCCGTCTATGGAATGACATTTACAGAAGTATTGGCCTGTGGCAGATCCCGCAAATTCTTAGGTCATTCTAGATTGGTGGGTGCCGCTGCCTCAATGAAACTGGCTGGTTCTAGCAAATTCTTGCACACGTATAGTGAGATCTACACCTAAAGAGCGCGGTCCCTCAACAACTAGTGGTACAGTGTGGCGAAAAGCCCATTAAGACTGCTAAAAAAAGTTTCATGTTTTGCTTTATTCTGGATCTTTTGATACCGATCGACCATTTTTGTCATATGTGACGCTTTGGCTGTTGCCATAGGCACAGTTTTGCTTGAGTCAGCTGTTGATGGGCATTGATGGGTTTGTGTGTCTGATTTCTGTCGGCTCAAAGCGGCAGAAAGGAGCTATTCTGTTCACGACATTAACCCTGCCACAATACAGTATTCCCTTGTCAGTTCCACAGCACACAAATGCTTGGCTTGAAGTCACTTGGGATCTCCACAGCCAGTGCGTCGTTACACGCAGCAACGTTGTCTCAAACTCTATCGCAGAGAATAGGAAGCTGACTAAATCTCTTGTAGAGAAGAGGTTGCTTACTAACTTTCTATGTACACAATCGAAGATTAATTTGCACCAGTCAACTTTTTTACAAGTTATAAACAGTCGCATATCACAATGGTGACGTCACGCATCGACTAGGCAATTCCCGGGTCATAAGCCTTTTTATGCAGTTTAATTCTTAAACTTAACCGGTTGGAGCAGCTTAACCGTACAGCAATCAGAAATGTCCTGACGGCCGCTGTGATAGAAAGTTATAACCTCCTATTTAAATAGTGAGAACAAGCTCTTTAAACTTCCAATCACTTTGACTGGAAGCCTTGAAGTTTGAAGGATTCGGATGACGAAAAATGAAGGCCCTCATTTGAGCCGAATTTGCTATTGTGGAATATGAAGGATGAGAAAAAGAAATTGTTTGGCATTTCACCGCACCTCTTTCCTGACAATGGCTTAATATATATCACCCATCGCATATTTTGGCGCTGAAAGTTGTCATATCATAAGGAAGTGCCTGAACAATATGCACTGACGGGTGTTGCCGATGGAGTTTCATGCGGCACCCATTATGCCCAGTGTTGTAAGAAGACATATGGACACCTAGTTGATGTTGTTCCAGAAGCTAGGCAGCGGCAGCTGGGACAAATGCAATCTACATAAAAGAAAATGCACCAAAATCTTGGTTGCGGTATTTTACAATGAGGCAAGGTGTAGTTTATTTGCACAAGAAGTTTCAAGTTACGCAGGGGATCAGGGAATATAGGCTAACGTTAAGCGGAACTACACAGCGATATTATAGCCACAATTTGAGGCGTAGTTCCTGAAACTTAACTTTGGAATGTGAAATGCAGCATTGGTTGCAAGATAATAGTCTGGAATTGTTTAGTGAATCAAAAATTGCGCACCGAATACAAACAGATCATATATTGTATTTGATGACCGTGAACGATGCTTGCGGCGAAGACGAGATTTAGCCTGAAAAGCGTTCTCCATCATGTTGACTTGAATGTGAGGATGACAATAATATTTAGATCAAATCTGCGGTCCATAGGGACCCTCGGCATAGTAACACATGTCCCCGTCGCGAAGCGAACAGTGACGGTTTCACTCAACCGCGCATTCAGCGCCTCAGCATACAGCTGACTATCGTGGAGCGTCGAGCATAATTGCCCGACGCACCAGAATCGATAAGGATTTTCCATGGCTTATCAAAGTCTGCTTGCACACACCATTCGTGTTCAAGAGCACGCAGCCTTTCGAGGCTGGGCTCTCCTGCCCTCTGCCTCTGTGGGGCATGACAGAACTCAGTTTTCCCCCATCTATGGAAAACAATTTATTCTGCTATCTGAAACGGATCCGGCCTCACTCATGGCGATGTCGGAAATTGGCAATTCCGATTGATTGATGAAAATCATTTACAGCTACATCAAGAGATAGTAGGCTCATATATCGCTAAGACTAATTTTAATGGCATAACCCATCTGAGATTTCTAGCGCTCTTGATTTCTGGAAACACTTTCGGTGAACGAGCTGAAGAGCTGACAGCCTCTCGAGATTGGATTCAAAAGTTGCCTTTTTGGCCACGACATAAAGCCGTGATAGAGTCGATTGAAAATGATTATGTGGGCATTTGGGCCATTGAAAGGCGGCTTGCTCTCAGCACAAACGCCCGACCGATTCTTTCATATTCGCAATGAAGTACAAATTGATGACGAGATATCGTTTCCTTATGAAGAATTAAATGTTTGAATTATGTTTCTGGTTTAGCGATTTTTCTTGAATTCTTTTCAAAATTTCTCGCAAAGACATTCAAGAGTGCTATTTGCCACATAAATATATCCTTCGATATGTAATTTGAAGTATTCACGAAATCATATAACTTTGAAGCAAATTTTTGCTAAATGTACAGATCAAATAATTTGTTTTGAAACATTCTGCTCATCTATGTATCTAATTAAATGTTTGAGTTGTCGTCACTGCTATCCGCGCCACGGGACATTTTAGCCGTGCGTGTGCTAAACGAAGACGATTTTCGCCAGGGTAACTACCGTGACGGTAACGTTCTTCGGTGTCGCGGCATAATACGCGATGTGCAAGACCCCGAGCTGGTGCTATCAGGCGGCGCAATACCTGCATCGACTGATGGTGAGGCGGTTCGCCAACAGTTTGTGGAGCGAGTTCCATTGACTGTCACTCTTTTTCCTCACACCAGTGACTGGGCAACTTACGCTTATTATAACAGTTCGAAGGTTGACAAGTTGGTCAAGAATGATAGCGAAAATGAGTGTAATGCTACTTTTAAGGGTATAAAGCGTTCTAGTGAAGTTGTGAATGATCAGGTGATCGATTGTATAGAGAAAGATCAGCAGAAAGTGAATACAAAGAAGTCTAAAGTGGTCGATGAGCATGTGGAGGTGGAAGAAGCATTGGTGAATTCACAAGCAGTCAATGTTTATGTCTACGCTGGTCAGTACAAAGATATCTCACTTGACGCTTTTAAGGTAAATGAAGCCTTCGAATTCGTTGGAATCTTGGATCTAATGGTTGCAGGCACAGATACCAAAATCAATGACAGCGAGAACGTTTTAAGTACTCAACAGCTCAAGGAGTTGCAGATCTCGGAATGTATAGATGAGATGCAACGCAAGGAACGATCGGGAGTTGTACTCCACTGTTGCCATGTTATTGGTTTGCAAAACATCCATCACGTGCGCCCTCATGAATCGATTGAGTTTTACCAGCAAATTGACGAATCGAATGAAACGCGGACTCAATTTTGCTTGCAAGAGTGGAGTAAACTTGGCTACGATACTGATATTCTTGCATTACGCACTCAACTTGTACAATATTTAGCTCAGGCTGTGCATGGAGACTCTCTCACGGCGGAATATTTGCTATTAGCGTTGCTCTCACACGTATATTCACGTGCCGATCCGTCAACGCCACTTGGCAATTTGTCGCTGAATTTAACACTAGATAAATCATCCACTGAAAAGCAGAAGACTGTTTTTATCCATGGCATCTACAAGATACTGACATTGCTTATGCCAATGGTAGCACGTGTGGATTTATCCATAACAACTTTGAACTCGACAAAATTTATGCCGCATAAAGACTATGAGCGAGAAAGATTATTAAGTGGTATCTTGCAAGCGGCGAATGGCACTATGATGCTGCTGAATGAGACGGTGCTCTCGACAGGACAACTGAACGAGCAAGGGGTAAAGAACTTAGCTGCTTTACAGTCATTTATCGATAAGATGTTGTTACCATACGACTTTCGTTTCTACACCATGGATTTTCCACAAGATGTGGCTATTGTTATTGTGTCGGAAGGTAAAAGTATATTGCCGGCAACTGTAGTTTTACCCGTTGTTGATACAGACAACACAAACACAAACGAGCAACCAGTGGAAGCGTTATTGGAGTGTTTTCGCTTATTTTTGAGCGTTTTACGCTCGTTTGCGGTTACGATTGGCAACGAGGAAGCAGATATGGCCGAGAAACACTACGTAGAGTGCCGCAAGTCGGAGCAAAAAGTTGCGGTAAGTGCTAGTTGACGGGCAAAGGAAAGTTTTGGAATTTGATATATCCGTTTGTATGTCTGCGTCGTAGATTGAAGATCTTCACCGCTGGTTACGCCTTGCTCGTCTCGTAGCGCTCAGTCGCGGAGAAGGCCAAATTTCAAAGAATTCTTGGGATGCGATGTTGGCACTGGAAACTCAAAGACTAAGTCGTCTTCCGACTATGAACTCGAAGTAATCATGAACTATATATTTTGCTCAATCAAACTTATTTTGATACCACATCAAGCTAGCTCTTCGTGCTAACCGTTTGATGGCGTCCATCTTTGAATAATCACCACCAAAAAGTCTTTTTCTATATGTGGCAAGATAAGACCAATACAAATCCAACATATTTGAAATGCACGACTTACCATGTGCAATGAGAAGCTCCAGTTTCCGAATGCGAATACGCATGAATTGCAGATCATCCTTAGGATTTAAGTCGCGCACAACGCCACGGGCCTTTGTAGTTAGTTCCATCATATACAGTGCATACTTCTCAGCCTCGGCCACTTGCATCTGTGGATGACGTCGAAGCACATTGCCACAACGGTCTGCAATCACGTAACCTTCCACACCCTTGTGGTTTCTGATGCGTTCAAGAGTTTCCTCAACCTCAGACATGTTCTATAGATCTACTGCGCCTCTTCAAAAGTATGATATTATGTGAAAATTTTTGTTTTGCCGCCTCTTCCCAAGCCAAATGCAACGAGTTCGTCGTGCACCTTTGACTCATTAAGCTTGCGCTAAAAACTGACTTCATACGGTCCACCCTGGAGCGGGGCCGGAGCCTCTGAATTAGTACAACAACTTTGCTCTTACTTGAGTTGTGAGCGACGTGCGTAAAACTAAGTCTAATTTAAATAGTATTAAGGGAGAATAAAAAAATGCCCTAACTTTTGCCATATATAAAAAAAATATCCCAGCTTTTCGAAAAATAAAAAAATACCCAAGCACGTAAATTATT